GAGCAAGCGGACGAACTCTGAAAATCGAGGCAACCGGAATCGAAAGGAGTAGCGATTTCGCGTAGCACTGGCAAAGATTCCGTGATATACAGGACGGCCCGTTCGTATGCCTCGCACGTTTGCTCGTATTACATATGTATGATGCGCATTTTATCCCACGCTGCAGGATACGTACACGAGCGTGTATACACGTACGTAATGTCGCTGTCACACGATCGAATATTCGATGATATTCCCGACGGTGTCTGGGTCAAAATGAGGGGAATACGCGTCAACGAATGATAATTCGTCGATATTCGACCGAATCTTTTTTCGGGAGGATTCCGAGCTGGCCAGGTACGCGCGATTGTATTATTAATTCGGAACGACGGAATATCTCAAACGAACAAAACGATCTATATCGTCGTCTAACGTCTATCTTAAGCAGATTATCACATTTCCACAGATGCATCGGCAGGTAAGGGCGTTTGTGTATCCGAAATTCTTTAGTTCTCCCTGACGATTTCAATCCCAGCCGTGCTGAGTCGCAATGATGAAATTTTTCACATTCCCGCGAAGTCAACGCGACAGGAAGTAAATCAAGGGAAGGAAGGGGGGGGAGGATGTGAGAGCGAGGTAAGTGCTCCTCCGGACACGCTAGAAATATGGGTTTCTGGTAGCGACGAGAACGGGCGGCTAACGTCCCGCGGGAACACGACGGAAAGGATTCTTTACGGACACTCTCGATAGGAAACAAGTCGCAGGAACGCGTGAATTCCCACACGTGACATTGCCCGTGTTACATATGTAGGTACGACTCTCGGCGTGGCCTCCCGCGGGACTACACCCTTGTCCAGGATATTACCAGTGGAGAGGAAGTTGGCGCGACCGTATCGCACCAAGTAATTTATTACCATTAAGCATTTACCGTTCAGCCTGTCGTCAAAAGTCGCGAAAATACCGATTCGCCGACGTTTGTTGGTTGGCACGACTTTTCCGCAAACTTTTCACATCTCATAAACGGGAAGCAGTCCCTTTCTCTCTTGCAAAATATTGCGTTCTCGTTCGCGTCATGAATAAATTCGAGGGAATGTTCTAAAATACACCAACTGCGGAAGCAGCACGTCGTTTAATTCATTGTCATTCGTCGAGAGGAAATTGTTTTTAAAGTATATTCCTGCGGGTCTGCAATTCGCGGTATATTATGTTATTACTCGATTATTAATTTTATTATATTTTTATAATATTTTTCAAAAGATATACACATGTAATAAAGTGAGAGAGAGAGAGAGAGAGAGAAAGAGAGAGAAAAGTAAATAATTTCCGAGTACGTATATGCCGCGCGCGCAAATTTTCAATGCGGAAGAAAATGTCGCAGGCAAGCAGGCAGCAATTTGGACGAAATAACAGTCACTCCGCATACGCTTATACACGCGGCAGAATTGCAAAATGAATTCCCGGGAATATGAACTTCCGATTAACCGACGTTCCGGAGATTCTCTCCACCATGGACGCATGTGTAAACTACCGTAGCGGCTTAGCCGGCGCATGAAACCACGCGAACGAGCATTATGCTACTGCAGTAACATGCGAAAATATTTTCATGACGCCTATACAACGCGCCACATATACCAAAGAAATTGCGAGTACTTCAGATTATCAAACATTTTAACTATGTTCAATTTGCGTCATTTTTAGCGAATCTCTTAATGTAATTGATAAATAAATATTCTACGCTTTTATAGAAGATATAAAAATACACGCTGAAAGCTTATAAAAAAAATAATACACATATTATACGTGTAAAATAATAAATAGAATATTTTCTACAAAAATTATATAAAGGATAAAAATGTATGAATAATATAATGCGATTTCTAAAAACAGGTTTAATATATTAATGAAAAACGAACCTTCAAAACTATATCTTTAAAAATATACTTATCGAAATATGTTGGAAAATATATGAGCAATATTTACATAACATATACGCGCGTTTTCCTCACCTTTAATTTTCACAAACAGCAGCAATGCGTTTATTATAAAAGTATTGTAAATGTAAATATAAATAAAAATATAATGACACGTAATTTAAAGTACATAAATCAAAATTCTGTTAATATCAAATTCATATTATCCGAATAATCAGCGTACCAAGAGGGAAAGAGAGAGAGACTGAATAATCGGATCGGAAAAGTAATCGGATAACGATTCATAGGTAACTCGGCTATTAGAATATTCAATGCTTTCAGCCCTAAACAGCAGTCTATAGCAGCCTCGAATCTTTTCATTCCGTGAATTCATGCGATGTACAATTATACGCTGATTATTACATGCAAACATTGAAACTCTACACTTGCTATTTTATGTTAAAATCCATTGACATCCAGCCAAGTCCAGCAATGAAATCCGCTGCATCCCGAAATGCATCGCTCAGCATCCAATATATTTAATAAATACCTTAACGACATCAAAGAAGTATTAATTTATCTCGAAACGGAATATGCAAATTCATTTAATGAAGAACGAAATTGGTTATAAAAAATATAATCTCCCGTTTATTATAATATTAAAGTAAATTAAAATTATAGTTTAAATTTTGTGTTCAGTCATTCGTTAAATTAAACTCGCAGTTGCATTATAATGAAATTAAATTGTGTAGGGATATCACGAATTATTCTTTCTACTATTCTAAAAGTATTGTTGAACTGGAATAAATATTGCGGCGTAGCTTGCGTAAAATATCGCGGAACTCTCTTCGCAAATATCACGGGATAATCTTTGCAAAAGTATCATTTAGCTGTCATGCGTGAGAATTTTATGCAATTCGCAATCATCTCGAGCATATCGATATATTTAACGATTTGCGCAATCAGCCTTAAGTAGCGATTTTCTTCGTGTATTCGCGTCGCGACGATTGCGTGCACTTTAATTCGCGGTACACACGATCGACTTTTTTACACGCAGTTTGCAGCGAGTGTTAAAACGCTCACTACACACATCGCAAATTTACAGAACAGGATATCCGGTTTTTGGCAAGTAAAAACGAGATGTTGTCCTTTTTGTTCTCGATTTCGCCGAAGTCGAGAACCGCGGCCTTTCATGCCCGATTTTTTACACGCGATTCGTGATTCGCGATTGTGTTCGTGAAGTACCGAAATTTATCATGGTGCATATTTGTATGCGTGTGTATGTGTGCGTATGTGTTCTTGAAATATGCGCATTCTTGAAGTACTGAAATTTATCGCATCGTGGTAGATATTCCTTGAACGAATTCGCGCATCACGTTCTTCGTTAAGCGAATTCGTAGATCTCTCGTCTCGAGATAAATGGAAATGTCGCCGATGCCAATGAAATATTCGTTAAACGCCGTTATAATATAGATATTATTCGCGTCGCAAATATGAGTGAAGCGAAGTGCAATCAACGTCGAGCGATGCAAGGCTGCTGGACTCTACGGAGTGCCGGATGCGAAGCGATGCAGTTCGGAGTGCAGCGGCGGGTTTCGTCGGTCGACCTGGCCGGACGTCGGTGGATTTCAGCGTTAAATGGTGAGCGTGCAATTTCAACGCCCACAATGTATCGTATGATGTATTGCACGCACATCGGTAAATAGCATCGATTCGCCATGAAAAAAAAGTAAGAACAGTTATTTACTGCTGTTTATATGACCGGTTATATAAGACCGAAGGTAAAATATTCAGGCATAATTTAATTTCCAAAAATTATACGTGAAATAATCATTATCTGGTTACAGATTGTCCGAATATGCGGCTTATTCAGATAATTCAAACGTGATTTTAAAGGAATATTGAATATTAAATCATATATTACGTTGATTCACATAATAAATTAACATGCATCATTTGTATATTTTATTTATACTTTTGAGATGCAGTGGGATCTCTACGAAAAAGACGAATATCTCTCGCATTCCTATCGTTTTCTTTATAAATATTGTTTAAATAAGTTTTATTATTATTTTCAACATTCTCCTTCAGAGATGAAATTTTAGAATTTGTTGTACGCGCACGTAGCGAGAAATAAGGCAAAATATTCTTAAATGTATAAATTTATCTAGGATTTACATATGAATAACTGCAACAATTGACAAGTAGAATCTGAAGAAAAATTCAGATATATCATTCAAGAACGTCAAAGTGGTCCATAAGGAACTGTGAATTTAGTGAAACGTCAATATTTGTAAACGACTTCTCTTCGACAAAGTTTCTACAATATACGCGGTACCTTGTCTCTACTGATCGATATTTGCAACGATTAATCTACACAGGCAACGATAATCGATCACTATTCGACACGGTGTAACGATTTATCGCGTGCGTTTTTCACCGGGCGTTCATTTCAATGCCTGGTGTCCGCGAACAACATACCGTGCAATTCTTTTGCGAAACGAGACGCAATTTTCGCCAGTAGAAGCAATCTCTACTGTTTTATCACGTCTCAGGTATAAACAAACAGAAATTTAACGTACACGTACGAACAAATTTGTGGAAAGATTTAAGTTCTGCTTTAAATTCAACAGAATAGTGATCTGAGAAGTTCAGAAAATGAAAACACAGTTGACTCTATCCGAGTCAAAATTATTTTTCTTACATTAATTCTACAAACGCCACTTTTGAAAATAAAGCAACAAATATTCTTTTTTCTTAACCTGCCTCTTATTATTTCTTCCGTTATCTTTGGAAGTTTTTTATACAATATAGAGATTCAATAGAGCATAAAAGAGCAAAGGAAAAGATGTAAAAATAAAGACAACAGTTGTTCGTACGACAAGCACCAATACAGCTTTGATACAATAACAAGGTTGGACAGAAAGGACGAAAGAGACGTGTAGATTAAAAATATAAATAAAAAAAAGATTTGCCGCCCAAAGAGCATAAATGAGTTAGAAATCAGCACTTGCAAGACTTGTACTAGGTACTGAATCTCGACTCGGGTATCTCCTCGTCGAGCTCGGACAGTTCGTCAAACGTGCTGTATAAGAAATGAATTTAACGTACTTAGAGATATATGATGAGCGTTACCCGCGTCTCGACGACCCCACGTCCCGATCTCGCGGCGACGACTTCCCGACCCAGCATTCTGTTCCTGGCTGCTCCATCGTAATACACTCCCGATACTCCTCGCGCTAACACTAATACGCTCGACATTCGCGGACACGATTCGTTCAATGAGACACGTGTTAATTAACGCGATGCCGACGGGAGAACTCGATTACTTTGCGGGACGCGCACCGTACTTGCGGCGTACACGACTCGCGTCGACAAAATGGCCGACGATCGCTCCGCTGGAAATCTGCTCTACCGAACTGTACTTTGGTGCACTTTCTGTACTTAAAATGCGAAGCAGATACGCATTCTCAAGCAGGTACGCGCGAAATAAAGTAGGTATATGCTTTGTATTTACTAATCAAGTGGACGTATATTCACAGTTTGGTAAGAAAAGGGAGAAAGACAAAGAGTGCAAGAGAGTGCGAGAGTGCAGGTAAAGATTGCAGATCGTAGTTTCACGATTCACCACGCCCGACAGAGGGCATTGTGGTTCCACGATTCTCCGTGCTCGACGGGGGGCGCGAGTCACGCGTTCCCATCTATTTTCTATCTATTATCTATTTTCCGTTGGTCATCCAAGCTCAACAGAATTTGCAGAGTTAACGGGGAATCCAGATTTCGACTCGGGTATGTACACTCTGAGTTATTTATTTTGACTATTTGCTTTTGCCGACCTTGAAGTCGTAACGTCGCGATATCCGTCCTCGCTGTTTATCCGTTGCTTCATGACGCGATCAAAACGAACGACTAAATCGCGACAGTTGAATCGGTGCCTCGTTAGCGACAAATGACAGCAGACGATGCAGGTAAGAGTATAAACAGGCCTACAACGGTCGACGTCCGAAACAATTGTCATTTAGTTGGCATAATGGCACCTTCGCGTTTGACAAGTAGCGACGGTGTGCATGCACCGCAGCTGCAGTTACGGGGCGATGCGTCACCTGCATTGCCGCAGAGAATGCCTCGGGATCTGACGGTTGCGAGTTACTGAGGGAAGATTGCCGCGACGACGACGAAGAAAGCTCCGGATCGTAAATACGCCGGATATGCCGTAAAATTTAACGATTCAAGTTCCGCGAGCGCACTTCTCGGCGCACAGGTAGGTCGCGCTTGTTCGTCTTGAAGAAACGGCGAGGAAGGGAGGGACGCGAGGTTAGATTGCGCAGGTGTCGAAAGTGGTGTGCAAACCCTGATCGCGTACGCCTCACAATTCGAAGTGGCAGCCGATAAATCCGACTCTTACGTTGTCGGCGAAACGACGTCGGGGGCGCATTCCGAGATTAATTTCGCGCCGGGATTAAAGCCGCGCACGTTCCAGTCGCAATTCCCGGGTCGCGAGATATGTTACGCGTCGTCGTGCGGGGAAGGGGGAGGGTGGCCTTCGAGGAGCCTTCGCGATCGAAAGTCGAGCGGACAAATTTATTGCTACGTGCATTTTACGTGCAGCTGCGTGTCGTCGGGCGGGAGCAGCTTGGAGATGGATAAGTTATTGAATTTTATGGCTCCTCCCGCGGAAAGTTTACACGATATAATCTTACGCTGCACTCCGACGGCGCTGATATTCTGAAACAACTTCTTCAGCCGTATAATCCGTCAGTAACGGAATTTCAGCCGAATCGCTCGAACGACTAATGTAAATGTCATTTGTAGCGATTATGCCGAGGTACTTTGGCAAGTACGCGAAAATAATACCCTATATTACAGCAGAGAATATTACATTGTAATAGACAGAGGTAAGACGAGGGTGCGACAAAGGCGCGGAACAGAGTTGACGACGTTACAAAGTTAGGAGATGTTAAAGACTGAAGGCAGTTTAACCAGGAGCGTCAATTGAACTTGTTACTGCTCTGATATAATGGATGCAGCAGAGGTAGCAGCAATTTGACTAAAAAATCGATAGTTGTTAACATTAAAGTGAAGCCACGTTTATATATGAAAATACGAACAGCAAATTCGGCATTTTCCCGTTATACCAACACAGTAAAAAATTTTGTGTAAAAAACGGTCCACTGAAATTTGGTGATAATTTAACACAATGTGTTAAAATATACACAAATATAACGTTAAATTAACACATTCACCATGTCAATAACGCTTGAATTGAGTGTTGATTTTACATTTATATTTGTGTACTTTTTAATACATTTCGCAAAATACAAAATTTCCGTTTTTAATACAAAATTGTTTACCATGAACAAAGAAAATTTACAAAAATTTCACGCCTTTTTGGCTTAATACATTGCCAACTGGTCAAATAGTTTTACCCTTGATGATCGACCGATCAACCTAAATTTGTGATCATTTTCTAGGGAAAAATTGTTATTTTTAATTTTAAGTTTTATTATATATTAACTCTCCTGTGTTGTAAGAATTTTTGAAACTGTCTCTCTTAATATCTAGAAAAACGTGTACAATATCAATTATACGCGCTAGTAAGAGATTATCGTGATCTCTCCGATCCACTTTATTCCGCGAAAAATCGAGTCCCTCGTCAAAAATTGGCAAGCTTCATCCACCTCTTGATGACACGTTGGGGCGTGAAAGACTTTTCCGGAACAGAGGGAGGGATTATCGAGGAGATATCCGGGGATGAAGGCAAATGTTTTTGGAAAAGTCTACGACCCAATAATACCTGGCAGCATCGCGGCCGCGATGAGCCTTCTAATACAGCCGAACCCCATGGTGCCACTCGCCTAAGATCAATAAAGCACTTTGCCTCTCGGGATCGCACGGTCCCAAGGATGCGCGCTGCGGTCCTGTTGGAAAGATCACGTTGAGAACACCTTCGTGAGATCCCATCGGGATTTAAATATCAACGTTAGGAGCGCGCTTAGCGTTCATTAAAATATTTGCCGTGCGACATTTCGCATCTTGAAAAACTCTTCCGTTCAACCAAAGGAAGAATTAAAGGCCATGAGGAGCCCGAATAATCTAGTGTCATTTTAAATATTAATATTATCAATATTAATATTATTTGCGGCAGGATGAAATTGTCCATTGTGTATCGCGAACGTACCAAACCGTTTTCCGGACAAACGAATGCGACGACAGCCTTTCGCAAATGAACCGTCCCTTGAATCTCAATAATATTGTTATAAATGATAATCTCTTGACAACCCTTCACCCAATTGTTAAGTTAATTAGTAAGTTCGTTTGTCCGGAAAATGTTCGATACGCTCGCAATACACGATGGATAATTTTATCCTCCTATAAATAATATTCATACTGACAGTATTAATATTTAAAATAGTAAAAAAATAAAATAGCATTAAAAATTATCCGTGCTTCGGCTCCTTGTGGCTCCTTTTAACTCTTACTTTGATTAAACCAATTAAGGAGCAATCTTAATTTAATTTCTCAGTTCAAGTTCCTCACTTGATGCGACTCACTTTGTTCGACGGTCGCTGCGACGACAGATGTGAAGGTCGTATATTTTCCCTCTTTTCTTTTTTATCAAACGTTAGCGAACGTCAGTTGAATCGTATTAATTAACGCGGCACTTCATGTAATTGCAATCCAATTTTTTCGCCCACGATACGAAACGATATTCGGCGACGAGTAAAATCGTTCGTGTGTTTACCGGCATTACCGCAGCCGTGACGTTACGTCGTGCGACGCAATTGCGTCAACGCATTAACGACGCGCAAGTGATAATGACGTAACCGCGGAAGATAAAATAACGATAATTTTGATATCGGGCGTGCTGACGCGCGCATTATCGATCAACGGTTTAACCAGCAGCAGCAGCGATGAAGTGAAACTTTAATTCAGACGTGATCGACAAGTCACCGATATTTACGTTCGCCAGTACAGTTACATGCGCGCGCGCGCCGATAACACTGTATTATCTTTCGACCCGCCTCGATAATCCAACGGCGTATAACTCGCCTCAAATTATTTAGGCTAAACTAATTGAGAGTGCCGATGCCGTTAACATGTCGCCACCGCGCGCTAGACCCGTACCCTCCGCGAGCGTTTTAGCATAGAAAATCGATCATAATGGAAGAAGGGAGAACAAAGAGGGGAGGAGCAGGGAGCGCAGTTACGCGGCGAGGAATCGAATAACACGGTTTTACGTGCAATCTCGTCGCTCGCGTCTAACGCGAGTCCTTTTTCGATCGTCCGGGGAGAACCAGCTGCCGAGATGGATACACGTCGGGGTCAACGCGAAGTCAAACGAGGCGAGCTTTCTTCGAAGTCTCTCTCTCTGCGGTACCATTTCCGGCTGATTTACGTCGCGACGTTGCGGTCGCGATCTCGAGTCTCGGTCGACGCGCGACCGCGTCGTCGTCGTCTCTATCGTTACGTTCTCGCGCGGATGCAGCTGTGTCTCTTAAAAAAGTCTCGCGAGACACCATCGTTAATTCACATTTATGTGGACAATGACCCCGACGAGGGTGAGCCCCGCTCCATTGCGCCGCATCTTTTAATGTCTCCCGAGGGGTTGTGTCTCGGAGTCTTCATAAAGGAAATCCGCGGTCGCGGCTACGATCCTCTCGCAACCGACACGCCCGTGCGCGTCCTTTAATCTCGGCGCGGAAGATCCTGCGGATAAAACAAGGGTCCCGACAAAGACGCGTCTTATCTCCGCCTCTCTGCCTTCATTCGTAATATTTATGCCATGCGGGGACGGAAACGAGACCGACGTCGGAGACCCCCGGCTGTGAATGCCGCGCGGTCACCAGCCGGCAGCAGCGGATATCTCGTCAACCCGACGGCGAATTGTTGTCTCGAGTCACTCATTACCCTTGTTTCGACCGGTCGTTTCCACTCGCCATAGCAATTAAGTCGCCGTGAATTATTCGAGCGACCGATTCATCCTGTGAAGTTATTCTCGTCTGTGTTTTGATTATCTCTCCCGCCCGCGGTCATACGACGTATCTCCCAACGACTAATTAATATTTCGCAATAAACAGATCCAAAATGATTCAAGTTATGGTGGAGAATTTCGAGAATAAAATTCCCGGCTTCGCGTTTCGCGCGATACCTGTTTCTTTTTTTTAACAAACACACATTACAGATACAGAGTACATATTCACTTATATGCAAAATTGTCCCATATATATGCCGAAAATTTATCGCACACGCGACAAAACAAATCATATCGGCCGCTCACGTTCCTAAAATACATCACCCAGCCGGGGCATAAACTCTAACCCTTCGGTCATTCGTCGGTCAGCGTTATTACAATCGGAGCGCGGCT